TCTTATGTGGAGCTCCAGGTAACTTGGCTCCCCTGTTTCCAGCTTGTGTGGAGCGCTTGTGTCTCCACACGGCATGTACTAATGGATGGCATGCAAGACAGCTCATTATCCTTTCCATAGGTAGGCAAGAAATACATATTTGTTGAATTTTTGTGCATCTTCTGAATCATGCGTAACTGCTCTGTACCATACAGTACTACAAAGCCCTTCAAACCTGCGTAATTATTGATAGCTTGTGCTAGGTCAAGGAGGCTATAGTAAGGAAAATAGGACGAAAAATATTGCACTTTTATATTTAAGAATAACTTATGAGTTAGGCAGGCTAAATGTATGCGTCACTGCTGTCTCCTCTCTGGGTGTCTTGATGAAGCAATTTCAATCAGTTTAACAGATGCATGTTTTATTATTATCCTGACTTCCAAGCATCGCTTGCTTTGAACATCCGAAGACAAAGGCATCTAATTAACAAATGAAATCATCAAGCTGTGTAGTCCCAGCAGCTGAAAAAAGATGATATAGCAAATATAGTCTGTGATCCTGCTCTCCTGTCTGTGTATGTGAAACTCCCCTGGAGTTCAGGTGAGGGTCGCAGGAGGTGGTCCGTGTTTTTTCCTGCTCGCAGCCAGTGCGATGCCTCCAGTGCTTTGCAATTCAGCGTAGAGAGGATATTAATAGCATCCGCCACAGTTGCGCACCTTCCACGCCAACATCTCTGACCGTCGTGATGCAATTCACAGCGCATTTAGATTAGACCCGTTTTGAACAGCTTATACTGGGTTTTCTTGTTTGTTTCAGAGCTTAGGGATGTGTGAAGGGAATTCTTCCAATATAGCATTTAGAATGCCTGTGCCATCTGGGTTCTGGAAACTGTTTGGTTCAATTCAAAGATTAAGGACTGAAAAATTGAACCTAATGTTGGCATAAACCTCTGTGGAAAACATACTTCTGTAATTATTTTAATTTTGATTAATAGACTTTAACTACATATCAACACCCATGACTTCAGTTTAATTTAAAGAATGATTAGTCAGTTAACTCTTCATAATTTGATCAACCCAAAATGAAAATTTTAGTGGCTTTTTTTTTCTCTTGTAAAGCACGTAAAAAAATTCATTTAGCTGAGCTTCCTAATGCTAAATCTTTCTCCACTGCAGTAAGATCTCCCTGTCTCTTCAGTGATTTCCCCTCTTTCCTCTTCCCAGGTTAATTGCTGTGCACTACCTGAAGTCCATAGCTTCCCTCCCAGAATGCTGAGTCCCGGACTGTTCCAGTGCTTTTAGTGAACAAACACCCAGGGATACTTACACATAGGCACAGAGCTTTAAATAGTTTTGGGTTTTTTTTAAAGTCTATTTGGAAATTTGAATATCAGTTAGTAACAATTCAATTAGACACTGAAACTGAAGTTCTGGAGAGCTCTGACAAGTGAGCGTTAATGCCACCAAGATCAGGCGACTTTAAAATAAGCTGTCTAAAGGCAATGAATTTGGCAGTTGCATGCCTCCGTTGTAATAACTCTGCAGAATACCTTGGCACTACTATGAAAAAGACATACTTTGTATTATGTTTGCAGCTCTGGCACTGCCTGAGCAAAACACAGTCTTATATAACAACCCAGTAAAACATTTGTCTAACCCTGCCCAACAGCGGGGCAGGCCGCTGAGTGTTCAGTGAAATCTCACAATTGCAAGCATTATTTTGTCTCCTATTAGTGCTGCTTCTTTTGCTTTGATGCAGCTGTCGAGATCTTTCCAGCACTGCCGACGGAAAAACCAGTCAAGTTCTGCAGTGCAAATTTTCTATTAATTGACCATTATGAAGTGCTTTGGCAGAGGGCTTGCTGCGTTTGCATTCCCAACTTAAATTTCTTTGAGGTATCTTTATACTCTTATCAAAATCCATCCCCTGTCGTGGTACAGTGCGGTGCAGAAAGAGGGTGCCTGCTCCTCTCTGTCGTAGAGGAGGACCGGTGTTGGAGGGGGTGAGCACGCGTCCAGCGTGGACCTGCTGCAAGAGAGCAGGTAGTGCAAGCGAGCGATGGCATCACAGCTCATGACATCATGGAGTATTTAGGTTGGAAAGGATCTCTTGTCCAACCTACTGCTCAAAGCAGGGCCAGCTTCACAGTTAGGTTAGATTGCTCAGGGCTGTGTCCAGTCAAGCTTTGAATGTCTCCAAGGGCCGTATCCTGCTGCCTCTCTGGGCGCTTGTCTGATTGCACAGGGAATTTGTTTTTGCTTAAAACCAGGAGGAATTTCTCTTGGTGCAACTTATACCTGTTGGCTCATGGTGCTTTGTTCTGCTCTTCTGAGTTTGCCTTCATCTTCTCTGTAACTTCCCGGTAGTTAGTCAACAGAAATTAGATCACCCCTTCGTCTTATCTTCTCCAGGCGGGCCAAACCCAGCTCCCCCAGCCTGCTCCAGCCATCACGGTGGTCGCCTCTGCAGTTGCTCCGGTATGTCCGTGTGTTGCCCAGGTGCTCTGGATGTTGTCTCGCAGGTGGGGGTATTGGGGAAGGATCCTTTCCCCGGACCTGCTGGCTGCACTCTTGCTGTTGCAGCCTGGGATGTAGTCAGCCACCTCCTGTTCAGCTTTGCCGCCGGGACCTCCAAGGCCTCTTCTGCAAAGAGGTTTTAGGCTTTAAGTGATTTATTCTGTCTAGTCTTGATTAAATTCATCAAAATGAAGCGGAGTCAAGACTTGGACTTCTTGTGTATGTCACCTGAGGGGATGCACCTTCATCTAAGGGCGAGAGATTGGCGGAGCGGTCCCCTGGCTCGGTGTTGGAGACTTTTGGCTGCCAGTCATCCTTGTTTGTGGTCTAAGGATGTGCTTTAATAAGCAGCTGCTGGAAAGCATTTGTGTGTGAAATGTTCTGTTGTTCATCAAAATATAGGGAACAGGTGTTTTGGCCTAGAAATTGAAGCAAGCTAATTTCCTTCTTTTTATTTTCTATTGCATGAGTAGAAGACATAACATTTCAGCAATCTCATCCCTTTTCAAATGCTACTGTGATTTAAAATAACCTTTAAAACAAAAATGAAATCTCATTAGAAAATGGCATCCTAATTTGGAGCAACAATTTCATAATTTGTTTCTGTGATATTAAATTAAATGTTTTGTAGAGTAGGATGAAGGTAACATTTACTTAAAATTCATGCTCTATTACAAGATATTATTGCTTGAATTATTCCAAATTTGGAACATGTTTTGTTTCTAATTAATCAAGAGATTCTCAAGCTTTATTCTCGTTATGCAAATCAAAATGTAAGCATCTAAAGAATAATTTTTAAGTGCAAACTGCTTTTCAGTGTGGACGTTTGAAACCTGCTAATCTATTCAGATTGTTAAGGAGGGGCTTCCTTTAATAATCCCACGTGCCTCTGGCTCACCTCTAGTTTATAAAACTATGAAACCCCCAGATCTTTTAAGAACCGCTATGCTGTTGGTCCATCATGTACAATATACGGTTACGGTGGTGTTTGGCTGGCACATGGGGAAAGGACATGGAGCAAAATGCATGTGAGGCTTCCCCAAAACGAGCTTGTTTTCAACACCTTTGGAAAGGGACTCAAGTGTGCAGGTACCTTTGAGCATGACCGCCTTCCTTTTGACACCGGTGGTCGTGCTAAGATTTGAGCACCTTGTTCTGCATTTCACTGAACTGTGGCCTCAAATCTGATGAATTGATGTTTAGATAGTTACTCACACAACACTTTGCAAAAATAGGGTTACGTTTGTGGATGAATAATTAATGAAGCACTACTTAAAGCATTATTTACATTTTGTTTAAGGAAGAAGCACAGCCGATAAGGTTCTGAAATTATTTCAGTCAAGGCTGAGTTGCACCTGAGAATGCGGTGTTGCTGTGTGCTTGCAGACCGGATCGGTACTGGTATAATTAGGCAAATTGTTCCTACTCTCTGTGGGTAACAGCATCAGTGCCTGTATTGTAACTGTTGGAGCCAAACCTGGACGTACCTTTGAAACATAGGGGCTAGACTTAGAGAAGCAACTTCCCCTTGGCTGCCAGCCCTCCAGGTAGTGTAACTTCTCCCTAAAGCTCACCAGAGAATTGCTTACCATGTCATTTGGAGGTTGAGTGTTTTTAACGAGTTCTTAGTAAAAATAGCCATTGCTTTTCTTGTTTTGTTTCTTTTTTTTTTCCTTCTTCGATGCAATTGTACCTTCAGAGAAAACTCATAATAAACAATAGTAGCATCCTGCAAACAGGAATCTACTTGTTCCTGATGGAATAAAGCCCAAATTAATTAATTAGGTGTACTCACATTCCAAGGGCTATCGTTATTTCTTCCCTTTATAAGATGAGTGAATTCTGTGGTGGGGATCTAATTTTCTTTGAGCTGATGCAGTGGGAGTAATTATATGATATCTGTATTTTAATCAAGAGAAGTGTGTTCTAAAGCCTGTGATGAATTTACCTGCTTGAAGTTAAATGCATGTAACTAAAAGAAGGGAATATGCATTAAATTACTGTATTAAATCGCTGCTTTAAAGGAAAACAGCTGCATGCACATGATCTATGTTCTAGTGGAGCCTACCATTAGGATGCAAATTAGTCTGTCTATTTATTTCCAAAGCTTTATAAACTATTTTGTCTAAGAGACATTTAAATTAAAATCAAGCATAAGAAACAAGTAGTAAAGATGAACACCATATGAAACCTAAGTATTAGTGGAAACATAACAGAAATATGATTGACATTATCATATGTGATATCAGATATATTGTTGTACCTAAAAGCCCAAGTTGTAAATGAAGATCCAGTTGTGCTAGGTGCTGTGCAGATGAAAACAAACTCTAAAACTGAATTCTGCTGCAGAAGTCCTAAAACGTATATTTGTGGCTTTTAGAGCTGTATCACCTCTATTTTGCTGTGGACCTGTATACAAGGTGATGCACGCGCTTCCCATCGCAGAACCGTCGTAGAGTCAACTGAAGCCTGACTTTGTCTTGGTTGTTCCTTCTGTCTCTCCAGATTTGGATGATCCAATAGTAACAGTCCACCAGAGCATTGGGGAAGCAAAAGAGCAGTTTTACTATGAGAGAACAGTGTTTCTCAGGTGCGTTGCCAACTCCAATCCGCCTGTTCGGTACAGCTGGCGCCGCGGCCAAGAGGTATTGCTGCAAGGGTCTGATAAAGGAGTGGAGATCTATGAGCCCTTCTTTACCCAGGTAGGAATGAAAGTACAGTATTTTTTCCTTCCTTAGGCTACTTGCACCAGATTCTTTGTAACGGGATCTGCCTGCATATCCCTGCTGGGTTTGTGGTGTGGGTAAGTGGGCATGCCCTCTAGATAACTACACCCCGGCACAAATGCACCCGTATGTTATTATAAGTCTTCCTAATATAAAAATATGTCTCTTAATTTTTTTGTCAAATTATGAAATAGGAAATTATGAGAAGACGCACAGTGAGCGCTGTCTGCAGGAGCCCCTTTGAAGTCATTTTACTTGGGCGCTGCAAGCCCAAACCTCTGATTAGACTGCTATTTCCTAATCTTTTCCAATACAATGCAAAGTGATTCTGCACAGAAGTTACAGCCTAAAAAGCTTTTCGAGGAGGCTGAACTCTATGGCAACTCCCTGTGTTGTTTTTTCTATTTTATTCTGCCTTTCACTTCTTTGAATATAAGTTTTTGTTCCAGAATTACACACTTAAAAGATGAGGTGGCAAAAATGGAAAGAAGTGCTTTTTTTAAGTCTTCCTACTCTCACTCACAGCCACGAAGGCAGACTGGGCCATCAAAAGAGTCTGTCAGATTAGATCAGATTAATTTATTGTTAGCACATTTGCACGGTCTCAGGCTAAAAAGGTGGCATATCCTATTGTCTACGGACAAAAGTGTGTGATGGTGTTTGCAAAAAGGAAAAAAAAAGAAGAAAAATGGAGAAAAAATTGTTTTGGAAAGTCTGAAGCAATAACGAGTAAAGACAGAGGTGAAAACTGCCTGGTAATTTGGTCTTCATAGCAGCAAGCAACCTGCAACTTTCATAAATAATTTTCAGCTAATGATTTGAGAGCACCTTCATTTTTTCTTTTTATTGTACTTGACAGCTTTATATTACTACAGTGGCCTGGTATTTTACGGAGAAACGTGTAGCCTGGAACCTTACAGAGATGAGAATTAGATTACATAGTCAAGTTATTGGTCTCCTAAATGTGATGAGATTATTTTTAATTTAACACGTACAGACCCAGTTTAGAAAATCTGTGGCTTGTTTCTTTGGACTCAAGTGTGTAAACTGGAGGTTTTTAATGTTTTAATTAAAAAGTGAGAGACTCCCTTCACATGGGACTTTTTGATTTATATTTCAATATGGAAATGCTGATGATTACCTTCCCTATTGTCTAATAAGAACATATCTCCTAAAATGTGTCACATGAAATTAGATTTTTTTTTTTTTATTTTTTTTTAAATATCTTTTAGGTTATAAAATCTAACCTAGGATTAGGAGCATTCTTTCTAGAACCTCTTTCTGGGTGGAATTAATGACTAAATCAGATTGTCATGTTGATAGTCGAAAGCTTATCCATAACCTTTTTACATTTATTTGAGGTCAGGTTGAATTAGTGTATCTTGGTGTACCTACAAGATCTGATACATGTTTGTAAGAGGAAAAGATGTAATTAAAGGTTCAAGAGTCATAAATGTCTACTGCACCTCCCTGTATAATTGGTTCTGCTTATGATACGGTAACAAAAAGTAAGAGCTGATGTGAAGAGGGATAGAGGGGATTTGACTTCAGAGCATCAAAAGATACGAATTTCAGGTGGCATTTTTTGGTGACTGCTTTGAAGCTGGATTATCAATCCAAAAGTCAAATGAAATGTAAAGGAAAACAAGTAGTAACACAATTAAATTTTCTAAGTTATTGTACCCCAAAAAAGCTAGGGTTTTTTCCGATGGTTTTCTTGTTTTATTAAATCATAGAAGGCACCTGGAAAACTTGGCATATACAAATAAATTTTTGAACTTTGAACAGATTTTTTTGATGAATCAGGTGATGTCAGCTACTTATTTTAGCTGCCATGGGGAAAAAAATTGAACAAACAGGCACATTCTCATCTTTGGGAGTGTTTGAAATACTGAACTTTTCAAAACCAAAATCTTGATGCAGAATTTTTTCCTAAGAGTTTGCATCATCCTCATTGCACATTGTAATTGCACAGCCTGAGTACAAGATTAAATTTGCTGTATTTACAATAATTATGCAATTAGACATAATTAGACTAATTATCCAAACCAATGAAGAAAATATATACATTTTTATAAATCTCTGCAATCTGGGGACATGATCCAGAATACCATTGTGAGTTCAGCCCACAAGTTCAGCTTGGAGTCCACAGCTAAGGAACGAATTGATGGAAAGCAGCTGCTCTCTGTTTCCAGAACTCAGTGACTTTGGTAGTTGAGTTCCTGCTAACCTGGATCAGGCCCTTCCCTAGCCCAGCTAAACCTCTTCTTAAAGTAGGATCTTTATCTTTGGGAACAGCCTTTCAAAGACTTGGTCTTGCAAACACTAAATCAGCACATGCTTAATTTAAATCACGTAATTTCCATGGGACTGATTACGCATACAAAGCACTTCAGTTCCAATACTCTAAACATCTACCAAGTTTGATTTCAACGACTTTTTTTCCTCGTCTGGCTAGCTGTATCTTCTCTTTTATTGGTTTTTTTTTGCTAGTTCTGTACATACATTTTCACAACCAACGTATTTTTGCTTATATAGGCCTGGGCAGTTGATGCACATGATATTGTTAAAAAAAAAATTACATATGTTGCTCAAGCTGTGGTAATATTAAAAGTTGTTGAGCTTTAACAGGACACGTGATAATGAACATTTTCCAAAGTATGCTCTTCTGATGCTTTGTGAGCCCGTTCAGAGTGGGGCTGCCTCCCCGGGCTGGGGTTCTCCCTTTGCCTTGTCTAAGCATAATACATTTTTAGCTTATCACTATAAACACAGGCAACGACTTGAAAGCAGGCAGCTGGAGGAGGAGATTGAAAGCCCGAGGAAGTTTGTTATTTTAATGCTAGAATGAATAACGTGCAGGTATTGATACATATAGATTATCTGATGTTTCCGCAGCCCTCCACACTGTCGCATCCTCACGCCTCACGCCCTGATGTGCTTCGCTGTGCTCCCTGTGCTTTCTTCCTCCCTGCTCTGTCCCACGACATCTCTACGAGCTCAGGATTTTGTATCTAACGCTCCTTTCGGCGCTTTGTTACTCTCGTTGCTAACAATACTGTAAGATTTTACATACATATTTCAGCAACTTTTTCTCCTGAGTTTCTGGTTCTGCAGTGCCCATTTCACATAGTACTGCAGTGGAAATCTTATATTTTCCAGTTTTCTCTTGATTGTGTCTGAAGGAACTCCTTCATTACATATCCCGTTCAGGTCCCTGCTCCATCATTTACACTGCTGGCTAAAAATAAAATCCATCAGCAGCTCATTTTCAAAGGAAAACAGCAGGATTTCGTAGCTTGTGATTTTTTTCATCATGTAGGTTGTACCTTAAGATATATTATCCCAAATAATGCTGCAACTTGAAAGACTCTGTCAAACCAATTTCCCCCCTCGCTGCTCTCTTTTCTTTTGCCTTTAATATATAAGTGGGGCTACAGTTTTAGATTATGCCAGCTGCCGTTTTTTCAGGTAATTAATTAAAATATGTTTTCTGGATGACTTCAACACCTGCTTCTAATTAACCACTTCTGGATCTTACTCCTACCTCCTGAAAGCCAGTCTTGGTGTTTCCTGCATCCTTCCTTGTTCCTCTGCCTTCCTAACGCTCTCTTTCGCATGCGCAGGGAGAAACAAAGATCCTGAAGCTGAAGAACCTCCGACCTCAGGACTACGCAAACTACAGCTGCATCGCCTCGGTGAGGAATGTCTGCAGCATCCCTGACAAGATGGTGTCCTTCCGACTCTCGAATAAAACAGGTGGGCCTCCAGCAGTGACCCTCCCCAGTCATTTAATGTCCCCGTGGCCTTTTGTGTTTTGCTGCTGTTCTCTTGCTTCAAACGTACGTGACCGTACGCGGCCGCAGAGCGGTAGGATCTATGGAGGAGCGAGTTGTAGAAGCCGTTTTCAGGTGGGGTTTTTTTTTCCTCACCAAAGTTAGGATTTGAAGAAGAGTTTTGATTGATTGCTCCCTATTTATCGCTTTCTGGATTTTATATCAGGATTTACGTTTTCCCCCAGTGTCAGGGAAGTGTGCTGTTATGGGTAGACTTCAAAGGAGATACTGCTGTGAGGTAAGAGGAAGGGACATCTCAGTCACGGCTGGGCATAGAGTAAAAACAAATACTCAAACACTTCTCTCGGCGCTTTGTTGAAAGCTTTTGGTCAACAAGATATTTTAGGAAAAAATCAACCTTTTTATATTCTTACATTGATTTAAATGATTGATTTTATATGATCGATTTGATATATTCTTACATCGATTTGAACATTGATTTCTTACACTGATTTAAACAAAAATGTTTTCTTTCGGATTTAATTGATTCAAATGAAAATATTCAAGCAGTTGTGTTGAAATGCTTTTCAGGAGGGTGACTAGGTATTTAGCTATGGTCTCTGAGCAAGCTGTCTCCATGTTGTGGCATTTCTTGTGCCTTTGCTCTTTTTGTTGGACTTCTCCCTGGCCAACCAAACAGTCAGTTGTATATCTCCCTCTCTTTGTGGCTGCATCACTGCTATGTGTCTCAAGAGCTTCATGTGGGGGTTGATCGCAAGAAGTGCAGTTGGGAATGCTGGTTTCCAGGAGGATGAAATTACAGATTTTAGTTCTCCTAAAGGCTCTGTGTCCAGGATCCACAGAGAACGTGTTTGAAATGGTTTATAAACCTGATGCCAAAGAGCAAAGTTCTCAGCTTAGGTTTCTAAATAATTAGAAAATTCAGAGAATTGTTTTCCGGAGAACAGTTCTGCAGCAAATGTTGTAACAGTTGAAGACTTCAGGTTAGATTATGTTGGGTTATGCCTTAATAGCGTGTGCCTCAGGGCACTGAAAACAGGTAGCAAATGAACAAAACAGTTGAGGCATTAACATGCTGAGTGCATCTAAGATGAGCTATGAATTTTATTTGCACTTGCACATTTCACATTATTTCTGTCCTCACGGCTTTATTCCAAGGAGTTGCCTCCAGCTTTTTCTGAATTTCTGATTTGACAGCAGGGACTTCAGAATTGTGGTATGTACCATTACTGTACATGACCCACTGCAAAGCAAATTCACAGCTCAGCATTAAAGCTGCCACTGGCAGTAGGGGAATTACAGTCAGCTCTGAAGGTATCTGGCAAAATGATTTGAAGCCCTTAATTTACTCACTCATTAATTTTGCCAGGAAAAAAAATCATAATGTCAGGTTTGTCCCTAATTAGTTGCTTTGATTTCATACCAGAAAAGGCATGAAAGCCTGTCTGCCATGGAGAGCTGTAGCTGATAGGTGGGAGCAACTTTCCTCTCAACACCAGGAATAACTCATCCACCTTCATCCATGAGAACAGAGTATGAGAGTTGTTACCGCTCCCATTTGTCAGAGTGATAATTTTGCCAGAACAGTCTCTGTCCATTTTGGACCTCATCTGCAACAGAAGTTTGTGTACGTTACAGTAATGGGGCAACATCAAATAGCATAACTGTTACAACGGAGGACAGGTGGTGATGACCTAGTTTTGCAAAAAGAATGAATTATTCCCACCTTACAACCGTCGTGTTTATTTCGGGAGAAAGGTGTCTTGCTACGTTAACAGGAATTGCTCTTCTGGAGTAATTTCCAAAGTAAACAAGCCTGAAAAATTGCAAGGATTCACACTTTCTCATGAAGAACTTGCTTGCAACCATCATCAAGGGCAAGATTAAATACGTGTAGTAATTACTGCAAAAACTCATTAAAGACAGTGACTGATGTGTTGATGACTCTGAGACAAAACTTTTCTCATTTGGTATGACTTCATCTGATACAGAAGTTCTCTGGTAGAACTTCACCTGGTGTAACTTCATAGAAGTTATATAAATTGTAAATCCAGAGTAATCCAGGATAAATCCAAAGTAATGAAAATCAGAGTCTGAGCTTGGTACTCTGTTTCAGTATAGAGCAGTCCTAGCTTGTCCATCTGTTTTTTAATTTAAAGCTGGAGGAATGTAATGGAGACGCCTATCTAATGGAAACAAAGGAGAGACAAACAGAAGTGTCTGTAAGGTGGCAAACGTGCACAATAATTATTGTAATTTATGTGGCTACAAGTGAATTTAAATTCAGCTGCAAATTACATGATCGTAATGTAAAATTGCTGGCAATTTGGCTATTCTGCATTTATCAGGCCTATAAGTATAACTGGTGTGAGAAGTTTTTGTTGAACTTGGCTGTTACTGATGTTTCTCTGATGAGAGAGGTGACTAAAGAGAATAGCTGAGGCTTACAGCAGCTGTGGGTTTCTGTCTCCTTCCAGTTGTGATTTGGCTCACCAGGTTCAGGCTTTTATTGCAGGACACGGAGGCTGTTGCACGATTTGTCAAGCTCCCTTTGATTGACTGACTTGTGAGCAAAGTCGGGAAGGTTTTTCCCTGCCACGGATGTGCGCTCCAGCTTGGGTTGCTCAGGGGTATCAGCTGTCCCAGCAGCCAGATGGGGTTTGCGAGGGTTTTGCGGACCATCTGTGTGCGGTGGCTTGCCATTCTCCTCGATTGATTGACGCGGTGAGTGCACGGCGGCGGGGAAGCTGCTGTGCCGCAGGGAGCACCTTGGCTCCCTGCTGGCCCTGATTGATTGCCACCCCACGCTGATGCGCAGCAGGACTTCTGCACGCTGTAACGGGTGTTCGTTACGTGTGACGATCGTTGGCAGATTGTGCTTGAGGAATTGTGCTCAGCAGATGTGAAAAAAAAAAACCAAAACAAAACAAACGAACCAAAACCCAATGTAACTATTCCTGTATGCCTGGAAATCCTTACTGCTCTTACAGTATCCTGCTACTATCCTGCCTACTTTATGTGTCCAGGGCCACCGAGGTTCTCGCAGATGACAGCCAAGTCACCTGTTGAACTTTCTGCTTCATAATCTTCCCGAACTGTTAGAGACTATGGTGACACAGGCACAGCAACGCTTGTTTTTTCCTCTTTCTTTCTCTGAACCACTCTCAAGTCTCCCCGCTTTCCCTCACCAAGAGCTATAAGTGACTTGGGCACAAACATAGACACTTGTTTCAAGGAAAGTATTGCAGATCCAGGTGCTCTGCTGCTACTGTTTATGCCACAGAGTCTTTCATACATCTATATTTCTGTGCGCACACCTGAATTGAGAGGCTAATTTGAGGAACACCAGGCATGTCTTTGGGTGAGTAGTTCAGGTTTCTGTTCAGTGCCGCCTGCCAGCTTGTCCCTGTAACCTTTTTGTTTTCGGTGCTCACTGTCTTGCTGATTATTTGATTGTGTGCCGTAGCATCACCAGAGTAACAATCAATTACTGTGATAGAACCAATGCAAAGGAAACTTTCTGCGCACTTCTCCTTGAATAATTAGAGAGGTAATTAAGCTGATGCCATCAGATGAACATGTATTCATCAGTATACTTTGGGACACGATGCAGGTTTAAAGTGTTACACATAGGTATAATTAGGTGCACTCACATGCCCTTCATTCAACAGCAGTGTGTTAATTATATCTGTTCTGTGTGAGCCTGAAGCCTTAGACACACCGTCATATCTCTGTAGGTACTGCAGGAGTTAGAGTGCGTTGGCATCATTTTTCAGACGCACAGATTTCTTTGTTCCAGTGCAGACTAGTTTAAAATACAAAAACCGAAGTGGATGTTGTAATGAGAGAAGCTGAGATCATCTCAGATGCATGTGACCATGCATATGCTGAAGCCCAAGATGACAATTAGCAGTAATATTGTACAGCAGCAGGTAGAGGCACTTGTTGAGCACAGACCCGCTTTGTATCTAAAGACAGCTATTACTCTGCAAATTTATTATCTAAATAGATGAGATGAGAAGTTTGAAGGGAAGCAGAAACACTGTGAAGAGATTCACCTGCTGGCAGATTGCTGGTGAGTGGCAGGAACAGAAATAGAAGTCAAGATGTGAGGAAGAACAGCGAAGGGATTAATTTTGCGACTCTCATTTGTTTTTAGTAGACCGAGTCCCTTTAAAATCAGCGCATAGAAGTTAATTTGGATAAGATAATGCAAGCAGGAGTTGTAAAACCGAATACAGCTGCTTTGCAACAAAATCAAGGGGTTATTCTGACAAGGAGGAGGAACCCTGAGAATTTTCTCAGTGTATGTGCTTGAATCCATGCTGTCGGAAGAGGAGCAGCTGTGAGGGTGGGTGTCACAGAGACATGACCTCCATGCCTTCTGTCTGCGTTACCCGTTTTTGTTGCCTCACTATGTCCATGCTGCACCCGAGAAGAAATCTGGTTGAGCTGATTCTGGTTCCTGCTCTACCCATTGGGCTTTTCTTGGGGATGCTACTGTCTCGTTTCTTCCCCAAGGGCTCAGAGGGTTCTTGCATGGCACTCACATGTCTTTTCCCCATTCGTGTTTTTCACCCTCTTTCACCCTTCCTGAAATCAGTGAAATTTTTCTTCCAAACAGTCCTTGCAGTTTGAAACTGCAAGAAGCACAGAAGACAGAGCTGGCAGCAAAGGCTTCTGGAGTGGGGGGAGCACAGTGCTATAGGTTGTGTCTTCTCATAGGAACAGCTCCCCAACACCTTTCTTATCTCCCATTCCCCCTTACGAGTGTTTTGGAATCACCACCTTGATTCCCCTATTATACCTTCTCATGCTCTTGCCTTGTCTTTAGTAAGACCTTTGATATGACCTCCCATAGTTTCCCTATAGCCAGATTTGTGAGATGTGAATGATTAGTGGAAAAATCGGATGGACCTTTGGGCCTGAAGTGTGGCATGATGTCCAGCTGATGGTCATTTG